GGGAGGGGCTGAGCCGGGCGGTGGCAGGCACGGGCCGTGGACCTGCCCACGGACACAGGTGGGCTCGATGGCCCGGAGACTAGAGCAGTTTTTCCAGGTGGACACCCGCCAGGGATCCCTGGACAGGAGCGGACATGCAGAGGGCAGAGGCCGGGGCAGCTGGGCTGCGTGTGGCTGAGGGAGACGGCTGAGAGGGGTCAGGGCCCAGCTCCGTCCCTGAGCGGCTGGGGGACCAAGGCCATCTGCTGGTCTGGGGGTCCATCCCATCCGCGGGTACAGGCTCAGCACTAGTGTCTGCCCCCTGGGAGTCACGTGAGCATAGATGCATGTCCGGCACAGAGTTAGGACTATACAAGCATCTCCTAGTATTTTTTGTTTTTAAATATATATATATATTAATATATTTTATTGATTTCAGAGAGGAAGGGAGAGGGAGAGAGAGAGAAGCATCAATGATGAGGGAGAATCATGGACCGGCTGCCTCCTGCACGCCCCCCACTGGGGACGGAGCCCACAACGCGGACATGGACGGGAGTAGGGCCCGCGCTGAATCCGTTCCACCATTTCCCTTACCCTGTCCTTAGAGGCCCGAGGAGAGAAAACCACGCCCGTGGGTGTGGAATTTCCCTGTAGGCTTCGCCCAGGACAGGTGACCGTGGGCAGCCGCTGGGCGTGGGCGTCAGCGCTGTTCCCTGGGCAACGGGGGGACGCCGTCTGTGGCCTTTGGTGGCCACATCTCGGGGTCTCAGCGCCCCTGGGAGCGCTTCCCAAGGCTGCCCCGCCTCGCTGGCAAACTCCGCTCCCCCCAGGCGCTGCCTCAGTGTCCCCCGGAGACCTGGGGACCCCACGGGCAGTTAGAACGCGGGGTTCAAACCTCCACGCCCCCCTCCTCCCCGCGCCCCCCAGGCCTGGACCCGGAATTCCATCCATCTGCTGCCATTGCTCCTCACGGACACACGGTGGCGCTGTTGGCCACTGGTTCTGCCCAGTCCATTGGTGTGAGAGGACGGACCAGGTCCTGCCAGGCTTTGGGGAGGTTGGGGCTGGGGGGGCCCCCACTTCTGAGCTGAGGCAAGGGGGCTCCTCGTCAGGTTCCCAGGGGCGCCGCTCCTGGCGCTGGACTCCGCCTGATTCCCACGGTCGCCCTCCTGAGGACACCCCCAGGGCACCCGGCGCCTCCCCCCCCAGAGCGGACCCTCACCTACAGCTCGAGCATCGGAACCTGCAAGGGACGCCCCTCCCACAGGAATCAGAATTTATTTATTAAAAATATATTTATTGATTTCAGGGAGGAAGGGAGAGGGAGAGAAACATCAATGAGAGAGAATCATGGATCGGCTGCCTCCTGCACGCCCCCTATTGGGGATTGAGCCCACAACCCGGGCAGGTGCACTGATGGGAATCAAACCCTGACCTCCGGGCTCATAGGTTGACGCCAACCACTGAGCAACACGGCCAGGCAGCACTGCATTCCCGTGGCAACTCAACAAGGGGCCCATGTGCCCCCCGGGTGGGAAGCCCTGGAAGGTGCCAGGGGTAAGACGCCTCCCCGCTCCCCAAGGACATGGCACGGCTGGCACCGTCCCTACGCCAGGCCGGGCAGGTGTGGGGCATGTTGTTTGTCCTCCTATTCTCAGGGACCCTCCCCTCCTGTGAGGGGGGGTACTTCCCTCCGTCGGTGGGCGGCACTCGGAGAGGCGTCCACAGGAGGCGACCGCAGGGCCGGAACCCCTGCTCTGAGGTCTCGCCTTCAGCAGGCGCCCCGCCCCCCCTGACAACGCCTGCGACACCCCATTCGAGGGTGGGGTGACCCGGCCGTCATTGCGGGCCTCGCCTAACCCGAGTGTCCGTGTGTCTGTCTGTTCCTCTCGTTTAGGACGGTTCTCCGGGACCCTCCGGCGCAGGCCTAGCATCAGCGGTCAGTTCCCGACGCCCCCAGCGGCCTGGGGTCTC